GAAAGCAAATAAAATTGCTTTTATTATAAAACTAATACTACTTTATGGATGTAGATAGAAATTAATTATTTATAACATATGTGTATATGTACATGCCACTGAAGTTTACAGATTGAGAAGTCAAGATCAGAGCAATGACTAAGTGCAAAACAGCAGCAATGCACACTCACATTCTACACTAAAGACAAGTCCACAAGCATTTACTACACAATTAGGAGTCCTTTTGGGACAAGGAAGCCAACTTGTTCATGTATTTAAAACTCCTACTCTTCATACTACTTTAGATCAAACATTTTTCTGATGTTGCTGAACTTTCTACTTTATCCTCCCAGCATCAGCAAGAGGAACACAGTATAATAAAATTTATTTCTGGGGTTTGACTTTAAACAACAAAAAAGGGAAAATAACACACAATAATGAGTATATCACTTTATAAGCTTAATTATTCTTTGAAATCTGGTAAAATTAGCATTGTCAGTTCTATAGTTTTGTGTCTCACTTCCACTTCCCATTCTCTGTTGTAGGCAAAAGATAATACTATTTGGGAAACTCATCCTGGCTCATGTGAGTGTAAAGAAAAAAGTTGAGGACTTACCTTCTATGAATACTCAGACTAAAAAAAGCATTATGTTTGTTTCCTAATCATAATTAAATGTTTTAAGCAGTTATTGCTGAAAATGGTGAGGCAGAAGCTTAAATCAATACTACAAAATGCATTAAGACTCAGAAACTATGACCCTATAGAAATAACCCCAATGTATCACCTACTGATTCATTCTTTACTTTTCATTTTGTGTTGCCATATGTAAGCTCCATGTTTTCAGCAGTTTTTTTCCTATAGTACAAATTGTTCTACTACAAAAGGAGAAGAGCTTTCTGAGTTTTAACATAAGAGAAATGAGAAAATACGTGCTTGCATCTCACAGAATATTAGTTCTGAAAAAGCAAACTAATTTCACTTATTCTACCACTCATACAATGTCCTCAAGGCAAAATGGAAAATGTATTTTAAGTGTGTAACTAATATTTTTCCCAATTTCACAGGAAGTTTGTCACCTTCCCCTGCAAGACACTGGCTGTATGACTGCAAAGTACTACTTAGGACCCTTGTTGAAGAAACATATTGAGTTTTTCAGCAATTTCTCATGTGAAGATTCTGGGGCTCTTCATACAAAAACACCAAGAAACTTGAAAACAGTGACTTATCCAAACAATGGGAAATAGAGTTTTCTAATACTAGCTCAAGGAAAGCAAAAGTTCTGAAGTTGTTCTAAGAGTGACAACCCAAAGGAAAGGAATTTTAGGTAGGTCAGTATACTGTCACTTCTGAGAAAAGAACAATTTTTTGGTGTAATGTGATCTCCTGCTCCTTTCCCTCATCAGAAGATTCCTGCTCCAGCTCAAAGATCAAAGTAGAAAGAACTGCAATCAATTTTCTTGAACTATTTTGAAGCTGTATGTCCAACTTCTTATGATCTAGGTGCTGAATTAGGAGCATACAAGCCATAGGACTTTTGTGTATACCTTCCACAGAGGTTACCATATAAGCAGTGTAAGCTGAATATACCAAAGAACCTTCTGAGGAAATTACTTCTTGTGGCTGGGAACCTATTCAGGTTAAAATTTTCTTCATCCATAATATATCTCTTACCACATATAATGTAACTGAAAAATATTTAAGAAAATATGAACAAGGAAAAATGTATTTTCCCTAAGACTAGAGGTACTAAAAATACTGCTGCTGTTCACAACTGAATGAAGAGACGTGTGGACGTGGGGAGAAAAGGAGATGAGATTACACTCTATCAATATAAAAGGCTGACATAATAAAATAGCCCAATTGTACCTTTTCAGAAAAGTTTTAACTTGGCTAAATTGCTAAAAAGAGGGCATAAGGCAAATGTTAATCGATACTGATATTAAAATAATCAGATTTCAATAATAAATCATTTAAACCTGAAAAGGCAATTTGGCTCAGTGATACAGTCCTTGCCTAGCATGAATAAAGCTCCACAAAAAACAAAAAAACTGCAATAGAAAAAAGTTTAAGGGAAAATATGTCTTAAGGATTTACATTTCACTCATTAAATTCTTAGAAGTCCTTTTCAGTTCTACAGTTCTAAAAATTAGACTTATCTACTCTGATCTTTTACAACTATTTCTGTGATATTTACTATTATTCAAAGGAAAAGTGAAACAAATGAAATCTATCAGTATGTGTTTTCTAAATTTAAGTTCTATGTTTCTAACTAAGCATGGCCTAAGTAAAAATTTACTTCATTATTTTTCTTTCAAGACATTTTTATCCAAGCCAGGTGCTAGTGGCTCATGTCTGTAATTTTAGCTACTTGGGTGGCTGAGATCAGGAGGATCATGGTTCAAGGCCAGCCCTAATAAATAGTTCATGAGACCCTCATTTTCAAAATAATCAGAGCAAAATGAACTTTAAAAAAAAAAGGAAAACTATTTTTGTATAAGCACAAGCTTCTATATGCACATGATACTTTATCTAAAATTACTGTAATGTTGGAAAATGCCTGAAAAGGGTAAAATAATCCAGGAATCAAGCCTGTGCTTCTTCAGAGATGATGGAAGCATGTTAACTCATGGTAAATATGATCATATCAATTATTTGTCTAATCACAGCACCATCAATCTGTGGGTTACAGAAAAAAATTCGTAACTGTGTTCTTTAATCTGGTATCAAATTATCACATAAACTTGCTAGACCACCAAGCTCTCTTCTCCAGGTAGAATTATTTGCAAGACTAGTTTCAGCTATCAAGACTAGAAAGTACCAGATTTTAGTCCCACTTATGATATCAAGATTGAACTCTTAATTTATCCTTTCATCAATCTATTCTTGATGCAGATGGACCAAAAGCAGTAATTTCTGTAAATTTATGGAATCACTATGAGCCATTAGAACCCAAGAATCACCAATTGTTGAAATTTTACAGAAAAATTCAGAAAGTTTCCTTGGACTATTTGTAAAATAAAGGAAGATATTTCCTAAATACCCAGTTGCAATGACAAAACAGACTAGTCTTTGACAGGCTGACATTTCTACAGCTCAACTCTTTACCCTCTTCCTTACTTGGGAGAGTAAGTTACATAAAGTTTTGTACAGGAAAGTCTCTTAAAATGGGAACACTAAGAAAAGTAGTTGGTTCTGCTTATACTTAAGTGATTCCCTTTTCCCCTAAAGGCTATAAAAACTGAAATAGAGCTGAGTGTGGTGGTACACATCTATAATCCCAGCCACTTCGTAGGTAGACGTTGAAGGATCAAGAGTTAGAGGCCAGTCCAGGCAAAACTGTGAGATTCTATCTCAAAAACAAAAGTGCTGGGGACTTGGCTCAAAAGGTAGAGTGCTTGCTTAGATTCAGGTTCTGAATTCAGTCCTTAAAACAAAACAAAACAAATATAAATCCTGGAATGCCATAATCCATTAATAGAAAGGCTTATGTCCATCAACCTTTGCAAATTAATTAATCAGAAGATTCCAGGATGTTTCTCCAGTACAACATTTTCTTCCTGTCCACTTTAATTTGACTTTAATTCTGATGGTTATAGAATCTTTAATAAAATTTAGGAAGTAATGAAAGGCAGGTCAACATATGAATGTGAAAGAAACAAAGTATAATGTAAAAAAGAGAAGGGAAAAGAAACACCACTGTGCCCACCTAGCTTAGAAAGGGAACTATGTTACACTTAGGATGCTAGAAAGCCCTTCATGCCATGTTAAAAGTGACTGAAATCTCAGCTTCTAATCTAGGTCATTCATATCCCACAGAAATAAGAAACCTTACAGTGTAAAACCCACAAGCCTCCACAGTAATCTTGGTTACTCAACACTCATGACATTTCAGATACCAGAATATACTCTCCAGTGCCCTTCCTTCCACTTGTCCCGTTGCCACAGAAAAGCACTGAGACAATGACTAAAACCTACGAACACCGATCTGTGACACTTCATTGTAAACTATCATGCACCTAAAAGCCTAAAGTTGATTACTTATTTTAATCTGGAGAAATGTATGCACACTAAATAGTGAAAAATAAAGGATTTCACCTAGTTCCACCATCAAATGGAAATATAGAAGCAATACTCTTCTCTGCTTATGATAAGATATTTGGTAAAACACTGATTTTTAAGGGGGATATTACACTGGGAATTATCTTTCTACATAGAGAATTCTGACTATAAGACCTTTCTTGAAGTCATGTTCTGATTAAATAGCAAGCCCTTGGTTTAAAGACACCTAAAGGAATCAACAAAAAAATTTTAAATAGAATTTCATGTGCACCAATCTAATTCCTCCTGTGTCATTCAACAGTCAATTCTGAAACAGTATAAGAGATACCTTAATAGTCTCTGCCTCTGCTCTTTAATTTGGCCCAAGACTACCCTTCTGATTTTGATTACCTTCTGAGAAGGGTTATAGCACTTTTACAAAGTCATTCTTACACACTCTCAATCTTTATCTCATCTTGAAATTTTTACTTCTTTTATTTCATTAAAAATTGCTCTCACTCAAAGAGCAGAAGTTGATTAAATGGCAAAAATAATACACACACATGCATTTATGACATGATATGGAACATATGAAATGGAATGTGAAAGGGGGAGGAATAAACTTTATTGGCCCATACAAGGGATGAAGGATTGAGAAGGAGAGGCTAGGGAAAAGAATGAGTATGTGTCGAAAAACTAAAATCGAGTGATTTAAAATGTACAAATATACTTTGTTATCTCCACCATTTAACTGAGAGAGATCTGTACAGTGAGATACAGGTAGGCTAAAGTGAGTTTCACTTTGTAGTTGATGCTACTTGTACCAGATCTATTATTAGTAAGTCACCATTTAATTCTGCCAAGTCAGACAAGGCTTTGTCTGGTTAGTGTAAGCAAGGTTTTCCATCCTGGGCTGTAGTTTGACCCGCCAGTGCTCAGAAGGCATGCTTGTGATGAACTCGCACACTTTCCAGTTCCCCACCTCCAATGGCAGCCAGGGTCTCCAGCCTACTTAGTCGCTCCAGGCTTCTTCCAAGAACTTCTTCTAGTCGACTGCGTAACACCTGGGCTCCTTCCAGTTCCACCTGCAGAGTTCGGTCTCTCTCAGAGCTGATTAAACATGCCACATGGAAGGAAAGCGGATTAGCCTTCAACTATAAGCCCACATGTGTTTCCAAAGAGCCAGCAATGCCTCTCTGGGTCATGAGACTTCCTAAAGAAATTGTTCTTTAGGACACAGTAAATGAAGGCAGTCTTAGTTGTGACAACTGTGTTCACTGCTGGGAAATTAATTCACTGCTCCTTTCTTAAGGCTTGCCCCACTAAACATGGCTGAGCCAAGCAAGGGCTGCTGTTGAAGGTAGCAGTTTTTCATTGTTACCAAATTTGACAGTGCTCTGAAAAGGTATCCAGTTCACAAAGAATCAAGATACATAGGCTCTTTAAAATGTAACACAACATGTGGTCCTATCATACCTTTATTCTGCCTTTATTTTCCTGAGGTAGAAAGAATATTTTTATAACTCAACAAGAAATTAAAAGAAACTGATTAATGAAAGATAAAAAACTGTGCAAGAAAAACAGGCTAGGAGGGAAAGTAAAATGAGAGAAAAGTGAAGGGAATAACAATGAACCAAGAAGATACAATACACATAACCAAAAACTAAGAGCTAAAGAAAATATTTATGATAATATTAATGATTTGGGGTGATATTAGCCATCCCAATGAATCTATTTTCTTCAATGATGATCAATGACGTAATGAGCATCAGTGACCTTCACAGCCCTCAACAGGACACAGAGCAGGAAAAAGACAGGAACAAACACTGTGTTTACTATATGCAAGGTGCATTTTAGACGCCTAACCTGCATTCTCATTTAATCTTCACTATAGCTATGGGAAATGTTCCATTCCTAACCTAAGATTTAGATTAACTAAAGTTCAGAGCAATCCACACAACAAATGACAAAGTGGGAGGCTTTCTTTTATTCTCCTCTTTGATATTACATGCATCTGCACTTAATAAAGAATAGAAGAAAGAAGAAAAAGAAAGGAATAAATATTTTTTTAAAAATAGTCACTCTCTTACTTCTCTGGATGGGCATGGAACTTCACCAGACTGCTGTAGAGCTGTCTCTCGGCTTGTAAGGCCTCATTAAGCCGACTCCGTTCATCCACAAGCCCTTCTAACATCAGCATCAACTGAGGAAAGAAGAGAGAAGGAGCAATATGCAAGCGGCAAAATGAGACATAAAGCCATAGTTAGAGACAAAAGCAATGCATTAACATTCACTATGACTGAAACCCTACCGGGTATCTTATGACTTACTTGAGCTTTCTACAGTATTTTACAGTTTTCAATTAATGTTACATTCATCATCATTTTACATTTTTTAAATCCCTACTACCCAAAATCAAACATGGGAGCAAGAAAAAAAGAGAGATAGAAGCACAGGAAAGAGGCTAAGAAAATAAAGAGGAAAAAAAGATGGGCAAGAGAGAAACATAAAATAGGACTTCCTAGTTTTCAGTGTTCATTCATTCAATAAACATTTATTGTGCACCTTCTATGCACAGGCTCTGTTCTAATTCTCGGGTAAAGATTACTATCTCATGGGAGGAAAAGACATTCATCAATCATAGCCATGTGTCATTGTGAGCTATAAAATATGCTATAAAGATAATGATCTCTGCTAATGTATAAACAGCAAGATCTGTTTTAGTTAAAATCCAGATTGGAGCTGAGCACCAGAGGCTCACATCTGAATCCTAGCTACTTGGGAGGCTGAGATCAGGCAGATCGAAGTTTGAGGCCTGCTGGGGCAAAAAGTCTACAAGATCCCTCTCAACAGAAAAAGGTGAGTGTGGTGGTGTATTCCTTGTCATCCCAGCAATGTCAGGAAGCTTAAAATGGGAGGATCGAGGTCCAGCACTTGCCTAGCAACGCGTGAAGCCCTGAGTTCAAACCCGTACTAAAAAAAAAAAAAAAAAAAAAACAGCCAGATTGTAGTGAGCAGGAATGGGTTACTGAGAGAGATTACTAAGGGCGACAAGGAAGTATACGGCACACGTTTAAGAGTTTGGCATTGAAAAGGTTAGACTGGATTAGTGGTCTATAAGGATTAAGGGCAGAAGAGAGGGTTTTAGTTTGTTGTGTTTTTTTCCCTTCTTAATTGGGAGAGAACCTGATTATTCGAGGATTCAGTTGGAGAAGTGACTTATGTAATGAGGGTGAGGGATAATTGACTGTGTCCCAAAAAAGGAACTGCTCCTCTTTCAGAACTTCAAATGTCAGAAAAGGGGCAACCTACGACTGCTATGAACACAGCAGGCAGACTGTAGCACAACGGATCTCTCTATGAAATCCTATTAACGTCCTCTTTTACAAGAGGCTGAGACTGACAGCCTTTTCACTATCTGTTTCAAATAAAAAATAAAGTCGCACTCCAATGACTTACCTGTTGTCTTCGGTTTCCAGAAATTTCTTGACCCTGGGATTCTACTGAAGCAACTTTTTCCCGGAGAATTAAGACTTCTTGGGTCAGGCGTTCAATAGCTGGTATGTCTTCAGGGTCAACCAGTTGCATTTGAAGGTCCTAGAAGTAAAAAAATAAGTATAGATGTAAAAACAGTGGTAAAAATACTATTCAGCATAGGAGTTAGGGAACACATGCCATTGAAATAGTTTGTTCTCCTTTCAAGTGAGAAACTGAGTCCCCTGAACAAGGGACTCACTATATTAACACATTGTTTGAAGGTGCCCTACAGGTATTCTAAGCTCAAACATTTTCAATGGTAGTTAAAAAAGCTTTCCAAGACCTTTATAAGGTCTTCTTTTATCTGTAGGTTTCTGGTCAGGGACTCTAGATCAGCAGCCTGCACCTGCAGCTCCTCTTCTTGCACAGCCATCATTGACTGTAGAGCAGAAAGTTCCATCTGCAGAGAGAGATTCTGAAGTTAGTGGGCAAAGGAAACAGTATATGTCCCAGTTTAACAATGAAGCAATGCTTTTTTCTGTTTCATAGCACAATCAGCCAAAAATCAGAGAAAACTAGATCATGGATAGTGCTATACTAGATTAAATCAGTAAACCATGCAGTGGGGTACCAAAGGATGTTTTACAGGAAGCTATAATAGTTGTCTTTAACAATGTCCACTTTAGTTAACACCATAAAACACATCAAATTTGCCTAATTAGTGAGTTTAAAAAATTATCATTAGCAGAAGAGGAAGATTTTCTTTATGTTAAGTACTTCAGCTAATAGGTGAAAATATGATAGAATTACAATACCTCCATTTTGCAACCTTAATTAATTAACAATGCATCAAGCAGCAACAGCTGCTAACACCACTGGTGATCACCAAACATTACATGCCACCTGATGAAGAGCATGCTATTACCTCAAAGAAATCTTACCAACAGTTAGCACTGTAGGCCCTAAACTTTCAGTGTTTATCCTGCTCTTGTTACTAGCAAATGACAAATATTGGTTATGACAAAGTTCCTTAAAAATTATGATAATAGCCATAGATGCTAACATTTATAGCTTTCTATGTTTTAGGCACAGAGTCAACACTTTGCATACATTCAGTCTTTTAACAGCCTATAGTCTGGTCCTAACTCTTCCACTTGAATAACCTCTATCTCAATATCTGCCACTTTAGTCTCCATTAGTGGCTCTAGTCACATTAGACTTTTTCTTACTTTGTCTTCACTCAGGACTTTTAAACCAGTTACTCCCTCAGCCTGAATTATCTTTCTCAGAACTGCCTCCTTCTCACTTCAGGTCCCAGCTTACCTGTCATCTGCTCAGGGAACCTTCTTTGAACACTCTATCTAAGGTGGTCCCTGACCATGCTTCCTCACATCATTTATTATAATAGGCAATTATAATATGCAATTATAATATTTATATTCCTCATTTGTTGCTTGTTATCTTCCTAGTAAAAATTAGTTATGTAAGTCCAGGGAGAGAGCTTGCTGATTTTGCTCACTCTTAGCCCAGCACTACAAGATACCCACATCGCAGATGAGTGAATGAGCACGTGAATCCTCTTGACAATCTTACAGAGTAACTACTCTTCAACTTACAGATAAGGGGACTTCTTATGCCTCAATTTATAGATGAAGTGATTGAGGCACAGGAAATTAAGGAGCCGGGTCAAAATCACAGAACTAGTAAGTGGATCTGGAGTGAACTCAGGGAACAGATTCAGGCCACTAGGTACTATACATCCATATAATCATTATGGTAACAGTAAGTTATTTTAAATAAGCATTTTAAAGAACTATTTTTAAGATAATCTTTAAAAAAATCAGATGGGATGAGTAAAGCAGATAGCACAAAAGCAAGAATAAGAAGTAATCAAACTTCCTAAAGGAAATAACACTTCTTTTCTTAGATATGCAGAATTTAAGTTATAAGCTATACAAATTTTACTTATATGCTATCTAATTCCATCAATGTTCTCATGATGATTTATAACTATACAAAATCATCTGATGATTTGGGCTACTTCTACATTTCCTTCCAGGCTGAAGGAACTCAGTTACTGTGACTCCTGACCTTTCTCTGCCTCTTCAATCATCAGTCTAGCCAGGTAGAGGCTGCATCTTAACAACACAGTGGCAAATAAGCCAGGCATGCTTGACTCTGCCCCATCCTTCCACTCCTTGGGAAACAACTGCCTGCAGGAGGCCTGTTTCCACAATAGTTTCCCTAAGAGTAGACTGTCCCCCACCACATGGTGGTGTGCCAAGGCAAAATGTAACCTGTGACTGGGCAGGTCAATCTACCTGGTTTGGGGGATTGGCTAGCAGGCTCACTTGACTCTGGCATTAAGTTCTCTACCTAAGACTGTATCAGTAATAAAGATGATAAAGTATCAGACTATCTGCCACTAATTTGTTTTATTTCTCACTTTTTCTGAGCATGGGTCTGTTTATTGGCCTGTTTTAAAGACTGCTATCATTACATATCCCAGTATTTGCTCCATTGAAGAAAAATGAAAACATGAGGAAGAAGATATTTTGCATCACAATAATGGTCCACAGTTACACTGACACAGGTTTTAAATTCTGGCATAAACTCCTCAACAAGGCATTTAAACTGAGACTCAGTTTCCTCAACTGTAAAATGGGAATACTATCTATTTTTAGGGCTATGTAAGAATTAAAGAAAATATTTTAAAAGTGCTTGGCACATATCAGGGAATCAGTGAATGATAACTACTGCTACTTCTGCTACCACTGTAATCTCAAAACAGCAAGGGGAATGTTTTAAAATATAGGAAAATCTACACAGATCTTAGAAAATACCTATATTAGAGAGAATATGCACTGGACTTAGAAGTGGGTAACTGATTAGAGATACATACAGTTAAGCAATAGCTAATTATCATTGACTCAAAATCCTCATTCATAGACATTATAGTTCTATGATCCTGGAAGCAGGACGGAAGCAAAAAGTGACATTACTCCAGAGTTGATGTAGATGAGAAAATAAGAACAGCACATGGGAAGGAACTACAATGTCTGATGTGAACAACCAAAAATGGCAGGAAACAAGGGGATTTTTTAAATGCCAAGCACTCTCATATCCTAAAACTGAGTCACATGAGTCTGCTTGTAAGGAAAAAATAGAGTAATAAAATCAAGAGGTACTGTAAGATAATTCCATTACAAATACGAATAGAGATTTTATATTACATATCAAATTACAGCAAAAAGGTGTACAAAACCTGAAGAACTGAGATAGTTAAACTTAATTTAGGAAGCTATGACACTGGCTGACCAAACCAGATGCCAGAGCAACATGTAAGTTTTCAGTTGTAGTCTGTACTCTGCAGTGGTCCTAAAATTTCTCCCACATCATAACTAGAGATGAAGTTAGCTATACACGGAAGTCAGAGGCAAAGGGATTCTGTAAGGCTGAGAGACCCTTTCTGAGAAAAGTGATGGAAAGTACTGACAGGAAAAGTAAAAGCATAAGGTGGAAAATACATCTGCTCAGTCGTAAGACTTGAGTTTAAATATTAGCCTTGGTGTTTATTCATTATATGACTAATCCCCCCACACACACTTTAAAAAGAACTAGTGTTCCAGGCTTTTCATCCATAAAATAAGGCCAAGATCATCTATTTTTGTGTATAGTAAAAACCTAGCACAGCACATTGCAATAATGTTTAATGCTTCCAAGTTCCATTTTCATGTGTCTAATGTCATAATTCTAAGTAGCAATTATAATATAGCACTTCCTTTTCCCCAAGGGCTTTACAACGATTTTATTTAGTTGACAATGAGTAGAGAAAACAGTTGTTTCAGTACTTTAAATGCTAAATAGACTCTGTTATAAGAACAAGAGCACCTTATTGAGATAAGATTTATATGAAAAAATTTCTATTTTTCTCCAGAAAGAAAAAAGGCATACCTTGTCCTTGGACTCAGGTATTATATGTAGAGAACTGTACAAGAACTCACCTGACTTTCTCTTTCTTTTTTAGCCATGAGTTCGAGTTCCTCTTTGACATTGCTCAGTTCTTTCTCCAGCCCTGTTACTATGTCCAAGTCTCCTAAAATGAACACACAGTGCTAGTTTTAATCACTAGAAACATAATGAAATCTCCACTGCCTCATTTCTGAGAAACACACTCTGAGACTTTTCCAGCAATTAAACATAATATATATATATATGCTTAAATTGTAGTATTATCTGCAGTAACAAAATTCTATAATCAGTCTATATGCTAAAGAAAAAATGGAAGAGACAATAGTATATTCACACAATGGGCTACTCTGTACAGCTGTAAAAGAAGAATGAGGAAGACGTTTATGAGTTTATGAACGTCTGAGGAGTGATTTTAAGGATATGTTAAGTAAAACAAGCTAGGTGCAAAAGAATAGGCCTATTAGGAAAAAGCGGAAATACACATACACATCACATAAATACATATGATTCATCTGTTTATTTTTACAAAAAGACACACAGGAAGGATAACCCAGAAATGAAACTGGTTTCCTTCAGGGGATGAGTAGAAGGCAAGGTAAATGACTGTGTTGAGAAATGTTGTCAATATATCAAGGTATCAGCTGACAGATCACTTATAAATTACAAAGGGAAAAATGAACATTCGCAATACAAAGACACAGCAGACACAGTACAACTTTAAACCAAACTTAAAATTACCAAGGATGATAGAAACTGATTAACATGCAGTGATGCGATGCACAGAGAAAGATATTGGTCATTCATATAGTATCCTTGCCAAAAATGTTTAACTTGAACCTAAACATGAGGAAACAATCAGAGCCAAATTGAGGAACATTAGCCTAGATTCTTCAAAAATCCCAATGACACAAAAGACAAAAGGATAGAAAAACTGTTCTAGATTAAAGAGACATGATATATAAGCAAATGCATGACCCCAGAGTTGGAAAAAAACATAACTGAGACAAAAGGAACTCTGAATAGACTATATTAGAAACTATGACTATATCAAAGTAAACTGTATGCATCTACAAATTTATCAAAATAAAACTCACTTGTACTACTAATGTATGCTAACAAAAATTTTTTAAAACGAAACTAAGATTATATTAAAGGTCAAATTCCTAGCATTGTAACTACTTCATAGCTATGTAGGAGAATGCCCTTTCTCTTAGTAAATGCTTACTTATTCAGGAATGAAGTGTCACAACACCTGTAAGAAATTTTCCAATGATTCAGAAAAAATCATTATGTCTATGTAAGTGTGTACTTGGAGGAAAATAACATTTTGATGCTACAAAATGTGTATGAGTACTCATTATACCAATTTTTGCCACTTTTCTGGAGATTTGAAATTTCCAAATAAAAACTTGGAGGAAAGTATGGGATTTTTTTTTTTTAAAAAAGCAAATTTATTTTAAGTTAAACAAATCTATACTTCTTTAACCTTTAGCTAACATAAAGTTTTCCCATTGGAAAATGACTCGTAAGACTTTTCTAAAGAGCTCCCTAATTCCCTACATTATAACAAACACAAAGTTTCTACAGTCTTAGTATCAATAAAAAAAGAAAAAAGTAAGTTAACTCTCCCAGTCAACAGCCTTTCTTATCATAGTACTATTATCATACCACATCATTAATTATCATGACTCCCTACTTCTGAAACTCCCAGGCAAATATCTTCCTTAAGTCCCCCCTAAATACCTACCTTCTGCTTTGTGAAAATCAGAGCAACTTGAATTTTGCTCCCACTAAGCATAGAGTTTGGTTGACTGTGGGGAGTTCAAACCTTACAACTTTAAGATAAGACTGTACTTCAGAAAAACTCAATGGACAGTGCCTGCCCCTCCCAGCACTTCAATGGAGATGATCAAGTCACAGTGAGCAGCTTGCATCTTAGAGGATGCCAGGGAGAAGGTGTTAGCCCCATGCCCCTGCTGTGCAGAATTAAAAGCACTACGTCTGCATCTCTGACCTTGCAAAGCTCTCTGGAGAAGAGAATTAGGATGAAGCTGTGAACCCAGAGCAACAACCTCTAATCAACAGAGGGCAAAGGCAGCTCTTCTTAGAACTGACATGTCTTTAGCCTTACAGGAATCCATTATTTTTTTCCCACTAAAAGAAAGAGTCCTGGCCAAACCTATTGACACAGAGATACAGGAAGGAAACACAAAATTTGACACCTACCTAGTGTGGACCTGGGTATGCTTGCATCCTCTTTAGCAGTTAATGAGGTGCTATCATCTCTGGAGGGTATTTGCATTGAACCCTAAAAATTGGAAGAGTTGGTGGAATTAGGAAGGTACAGGTACTGTGATCACAATGACAGGAAAATTCTCACATAATTTGATATTAAAATGGTCAGATCTATGCCTTACATGTAGAAAGGGAGTGCAGTCGACATAACTGTCTACATGAATCTATAGTTCTTACTTGATCAGTCTGCTCTCCAATATGTGGGCTGATGGAAGTAACTTCAGCTTGTTGGTTAGAGATGAGTGCTTTGGACATTAAGTCTTTCCCTCCTAAATACTGGCGCAAAGCCTGTAATTCTGAATTTCTTTCCATTAGGGCTTGTGCCATCTTCTCTGTAGCAGCCTAGTAAAAAGAAATCACAAGTCACATTAGAAAGATATAAGAATAAAATAAAATTGTTTTCAAATGTTATTTCTTAAAAGCCAACCATTTATAAAAAGCCAGTGGGGCCCCAAAAAATAATATCCTTGATTTCAGTTTACAAAGAAAAACATAGCAAGTGAGTAGAAAGTCTTTCATAGGCAGAATATTACAAAAAGTAAACATAATACATCTATTATAGATAAGAGACTATAAAACAGGTTGTGGTAGAAATCTATCAGGCTAAGGTGTTAAGAGTCTGATTTGAATTGGGATAACATGACTTTCTTTAACACAATGTTTCTTTGGCCTGAATTGTAATTCACCCAAACATTGTATAGTTTGTTCTCTTCAGGTCTTTGCCAAATGTCACCTTATGAAATGGGCTTTCCCTGCATATCCTATTTAAAACAGTAATCTTGTGGTTCAAAAGATACAAACATTCAGTTACAAGATGAGCAAGGATTGGAGACCATAGTACAGCATAGTGATTATTTAATAACATTGTACTGTTTATGTGAAACTTGCGGAGAGTAGGTCTTAAGTATCCTCAATATATAAACACACAAAATGGTAACATGTGGTGACAGATGTGTTAATTGATTTGATTACAATAATAATTTTACAATGTGTACCTATATCAAAGCAGCCCGTAATTTCTAAGGGATAAGAAAAACTTCCATTATCAATAAGTAAAATTTGGACTCTTTTGAGACTTGGACAGGACCATTTTAGAGGAATCAGTATATTATGGTCTCTGTGAATATTAGGGGAAAACCCATAATAAACAACAAATAAGCTATCTACTGTGATTTCCCTAGCATAACACTCTTTTCTAGCAATGCTGCTTTTAACAGTGCTCAGTCAACTATGGTCCGTGAGCCAGAAGTTAGAACTGTGATTCTCAAGTCCCACCTGTGCCTCCTAATGGCTACTTCTAGGGGTGAGCTCAGGAATCTATGTTTTTAAAAAAGCTTTCAGGTGAATCTTCTAGGTATAAAATTTCAGAAGAAGATCTGGAAGAATGTAATTGTTACTCTTACTAAATTGAACACTTTTTACAATTTCTATTACCAACTAGGTTCCATTATTTTACTACCAGCTGTATATAGTACTTCTTTCTGAGGTAGAATACTAATTCTTTCAAATCACAGAGGGTAAAAAGAGAACCGAAAGACTTGTCAAAGCCTCTTGCCAAAGATTTAAATGGTTTGCAATGATTCTGTTTGGTCTATTCTAGAAGTAATTTCTGAAGCACACAGAAGGATGTTTCTAATAAAATGTGTGTTTACTTCAGTGGACCACAGAATTAGGTAGAATATAACCATTGCATGATATAAGGAAACATTATAAAGTATTATGGTCGAATAACATAGGTAAGACTCTAGCTTCCTATAAAAACTAGCTAGGGAGATTCTCAGCTGCTGGTCCCTGAAATGTCAACTAGCAATGCCTTAAGGAAAAAGTACACAGAAATGAGGAAAAGATTTACTTCTGATATAGTTGGGTACATTATTTTGAAATCAATATAGCCCCACACTATTGCAAGATTACTTGTTCTCATCCTGGCCTCTGAAAAACCACAATTATTTTTTTCCTCTTAGGATAACTCAGATTTTATAAAAGTTAGGAGAAATCATGTTAAGGGTAAATTTTTCCATATCTTGGCTGGAAATATAAAAATATCATTCAAATCTTATAAATTTAGAACCAAAATCAAAATATTCCAGAACTCCTACTTTCCCTCAAAATGATCAGAGGATTAAGAAAAATGCTACATGTATCATTTAGGCATCCTTCCAAACAGTAATGGTCCAAAAAAAATTCACATTTACTGATGTAAAACTGTAGTTAATAAACTGAAGTAAAGAAGCAGAATTGGCTACAAAATGAAATAACATGTAACAATAAATACACATAATTGCAATAAATTAAAACTTTACAACATGTTACAATGTTCAGAGGCTTCCTATATGCAGACTATAAATGCACTATGTGGTACTTTTCTTACTTGGCTCTCCTGTTCCCTGGTTCTCATGGACTGAAGCAAGCCCTGAATTTCCATTTCATGTTCCACAGCTTGCTTGTTTCGATCACTCAGAAGGTCTTGCAGCATTCTTTCCTTCCGCTGTAGACGTTGGCACAGCTCTTCAGCTATTTCACTCTGCCCTGGTCCAAGTTTGCAGAGCAATGTTGCACTAAGATCCTAAAGCAATAGACATAGTGTAAATCTCTGGAGGAAACAATTCTCTCAACTACACATCAAAAGGCTTGTAAGAACCTATCATAGAAGAAAGAGCTATAAAATTATGGAGAACAAGTATCACGTTTTACTCATTTTTGTTTCCCCACATCTATTATAGGCTTATGACATGGAAGGTTAGACATCCACGTTCAGTGAATAACACTAACAATACAGAACAAAACCTATAGTGGAAACTTACATATTGTTTTCTGAATTAAGCTCTTTTCCTATTTGGTTGGAACATGTAACAGTTATATCAGGTGAGAACAAAAGAACATTGAGCTCATTTATTTTCTCCCCAGTATAACTTTAGAGACAGCACAAAATGTTAAGTTAAAAAGGAATGAGGAAAACTATATTTATGAGCAGGGTGATAAAAGTTCCTACTTCTATACTGAGAAATACATGCACAGTGGTTAAAACTATAGAGTCAAACTGCCTGGGCTAAATACTGGCTCTACCTACCACTTAATTAACTATGTTACCTTGGGCAAGTTCACAAGTCTGTATCCTTGTCTGTAAAGTAGGAATAATAGTATGTCCCTCATAAACTTATGAGGATTCAGTAAGTTAATATCCATTAAGCTCTTCAGTATCTGACCCAGCATGAGCACCATAACTAATAAAGGTCAGTTATCATAATGTAGATGTATTTTTTAGACCTAATTAAGTCTCACATAACTTCTTTAGGAAAGATAATTGACATCTTAAGTCTACAGCTATGAAGAAAAAAAAGTGCCAGTGAAAGTCAAAGTCAGTTACTTGCTTAGGCACAGAATGTAATTAAAGGTTTGGGCCAATGGCTCCCAGAATTCAAGAGCGCAACTTGAGGCTGATTCCTCAGCTAAGTCTTTAAGCTAACTAAACTCTTGCCTCCACTTCTTTGTTCCTATCATGAAGAGATGTCTGTAACTGCTGAATGATACTCTCTTGTTCCTTCTGCCAATGGCTAAATTTCGTTTCCAACTCTTCTTTCAGCCACTGGAGGTTTTGACAGGTGGCAGTTAACTGTTCCACTTCCAGGCTCTTGGCTCTCAGGAGACTTTCCATACTCTGCAGGCACAAAGAGAGCAACCGTAATCCAAGAGGGCACTTCATGCTCTTTGCAATGTAAGAATTTAGATTCATCTTTAAATTACTGTCTATCAGCTTTTTGCAAGAGAAGAAAATGTAAAATCTAGCAGTACCATATTAATCTATTTTTTTGTTTTAACTGGCTTGTGACAAATATAGGTACACAGAGTACATAATAAAATGAAGCACTCCAGAGGAAGTACTTTCTCTCATTTAATAGATAAATTATATGGGCTCTCTAAAAAGTGATGGATGGTTAGCTACAGAAAGTCTAAAACACATATGCAAAAAGAAAAAAAGCCCAGAGTAAATGCTAATGAAATAAATAAGTACTCTAATTGTGGCAACACATGAACATGTATACAAGCACAATAGTGCACCATGGCAATGCTTATGTAAAAGTATATGTGTATATCTATATTAATAAAAGGATTAGAAATAAATTAGAACTATGTAAACAGAAATCAGTTTTTACTGCCTCCCCCTGCTTTCTAAAATAAAGCATAAATGCTAAAATTTCTCACTTTCTAATCTGCAGTGATGGGACTAGTGAGTGCTATTTTTGTTTGTTTATCAAACAAATATTCTGGTTTTCAGAAAATGAAGGATGATGTTCCAGCTTAGGACACAAGAGAGAGAGGGACCCAAGTCAAGGAAAGGCTCTGCTCTCACCTGCATGGTAGCTTCACTGGAGGAGAGGACCCCACGCAGTCTCTCTAAGTCATGATCTCGCTCTCTCATGGCAAGATGAAGCTGACGCAGTTCTTTGTCTTTTTCTTCAAGAGCAGAGAACTTTTCATCTATAGCCCGCTACAAGCAAAGTAAAGCCACTAAACTTCACAAGATTTACCCTCACATCACCTTTAATAAGATTCAAAATATAAAGAAATGGAAAACCAAAATCCAAAAGTAGGAAATTAGACACAAATTCTTACATACTTATGCAGACAGACTGATGCACTGTGTATGAGCAAAATTTTGATGCATACCTCTAGAGCAACAGCTCTATCTTGTATTCGTTGCCGAAGCTTCTCAAGCAACATTTCATTTGCTTCAAGGGTTTTGTCTGAGTTATTGCGATACTGTAGGAGCTCCTGATATTCCTAAAGAGACCAAAAACATTTTCCTTTATTCATGTACCCAGTATTAACTGAATTCCTTCATTTTGCCAAGTATTTGTTATTGAGGATGAAAAACAGTATCATACTTCTAAGAGGATAAATTAACAGAGATAAATAATAGAACTACACACTGTTAACTATTCTGCAATATACTACATATATATCACACAAAGTTGTTAACTATCTTGCAACAAACATACCGGTTTGTATGCCAGCTACCTAGTAGGAGAACACAGGGTACATTGCCTGACTCTACCTAAAGGTGTAGTAAACACCTCACAAAGAGCTGGATATCATGGCTCACGCCTATAATCCTAGCTACTTGAGAGGCAGAGATCAGGAGGATCACAGTTCAAAGCAAGCCTGAGCAAATAGTTCACAAGATCTTATCTTAAAAAAAACACAGCCCAAAACAGGGCTGGCAGAGCGGTTTAAGTGGCAGAGTTGAGTGCCTGCCTACCAAGTGTGAGACCCTGAATTCAAACCCCAGTAGTGCCAAAAAAAAAAAAAAAAAAGGATCTCACAAAGGTAAGATGCACTGAGTCAGGTTTTTTGTTTTGTTTTGTTTATTTATTTTCCCCGGGTACGGAATGCAGGGCTTTGTGCATGCTAGGCAAGTGCCCTGCCACTTGAGCCATACCCCAAGCTGTACTGAGTCTTACAGGACTACGATTTCTCAAATGAAGACATGGTATGGGTATATTCATGAGAACAAAATATTTATATACAATATATGCCTACTATGAAAAAATTGTATGCTCTGTGAAATTTAAGGGATTCAATGTGACGGAAATTTACAGTAGGGGGCAGAACTGATCACTCTTCTTAGCTCCCTAAAGCTAAAACTTTCATTCTATCATTTAACTTTGTGGAAGTTGCATATAAATGACTTCTCTTAGAAGACTGAGAGAAGTAGCCAAATCTCTTTGTCTTCCCAATACCTAGCAGTGCCTGACTCACAGAGATACTTACTATCTGTTCAATACTATGTGAGTCTTTTAAGTCTACATGTACTGTTTCTTACTTGCTGATTAGCATCTTGATTCATGAACTGTATTTTCTACTGATTTTAAATCTTCCTGATTACCACCACTCAGTGTTCTACATGTAGCAAATAATTACCACAGGTGATTTATACCTGGAGATTATACAAATAGGAATTTCAGAACTCTATGAGGCCAGCTTCCACTGAAATCATGTAAACCCACCTGAAGCAGCTGTTCTTTGTGACTCAGACTATGGCTTAGGTGTTGAATGCTTTGCTCCTGGGTTCGAATCTCATGGTATTTTTCAGCCTCCAAGGCATGAAGCTGTTGGCTCTTATTCTGCAATTCTCCTTGTAGCTGCTGCAAAGCTTTTCGCAATTCCTGAAATAAATATATTCCCTTTTATAAGCAATCCAACATGGTTTATATCTTTTGATGTAAAAACCTTAAAATTTTCAATGTGAGTGGGGCATTTGGCATTTGCATGTTAGCCACGTCAGACACTAAAGCAGAAGGACTGCAAGTTCAATGCCAGCCTAGGCGACACAGTAAAATTCTGTACTGGAGGGTAAAAAACTCCTTCCAAAGCATATAATTAAACATAAAGTAGCAGAACATACTATTATAAAATTGAGACAGAGAAATTATATAGACTCAAGAATGATATGAGAATTGTGGATGGAGGCAGGAAGTAAACTTGGTATTATAATTCAATATTTATTTTTTTAATTAAAAAATAGCTCTATATAATTACTAAGTGGACCTCTATTCCACTATAAACCTGCACCCTTTATTTTACAATAAGCTAATTGTTAATTTCTATCATTAACCTTTCTAAAGAATTCATGAAGACTATTGCTCACCTTTCTTAATTGCCATATATAATATTTTTCTAATAATATAAATCAAAACCATCTGTTACTTTAGAGAACCCCAAAATATCTGCCAATTAATTAAAATTTAGCACATGTTTCATTTAGGTACACAACAAAAAGTAATTTCAGGGTTAATATGTAACCTCCAAAGAAATAAAGCAGATTCTTCAAGAACTATGCTTTTAAATATGAGATGAGCTTTAAAAAGTCTGAGAAAAGACACCACAAAAAAAAGATCTTTAAAAATCTAACATCAACAAAAAAGATAGCATATGCTCTAAGTAACAAGATAAAGGAACCATTTAAGAATTATATATTACATACATATATATATATACACATTTTTTTAATTACATAGCTAATTGGGCACACCATTCCTTTGATCTTGGATGTCCTTCCCTACTTTTCTACACAACTCTTATCTATCCTTCCAGAATAACCTTAGATACCTCCTCTTTCATGAAGCTTTCCCTGACTCTCTTCTTCACCCCTTTCTAGGTATTGCTATAGGAGCCCATTCTGCAGTACTTACCACACTGAAATTCTGGTCATGGGACTATCACTCACACTAAGTTATAAGCGACTTAATAGGAAAGAGCCTATGATGTTCACCTTTATATTTCCAGAACACAGTCCAGTATCTGGCACAGGACATAAGAGCAACAAATGTTGAACTGAATTGCTCAGATTAAGCAAATAACTCAAGGGTTCAGTTCAACACCATCAGCTTGTTCAAAAGTTATTACCACAGCAAAGTCAGCAGTTAGGGCAACAAAACAGTTAATGGTTTACCTGGTTATGTTTCCAAGAAGCCTCTTTCTGCTGTTCTCTGTCGTGTGCAGCAGCCTCCACAAATTGCACACATCGCTTGGCATCAGCCAGCTGGCGTTCTTTCTGTCGTACCACCCTCTGAAGCTTCTGTATTTCAAGCTGGCTGCAGAATAAAGCACTTTGAAGATCAAGCAGAGCCACCTGCTGATGAGCTGGGGAAATGCCCTCTGGGCTCTGAAAAAAAAACAGAAATCCTAATCACAAGAGGGCAAGCACACAACACATGAGAAGATAAAGCCAAAATCAAGACTGTAACCCAGAATGGCACATTCCCCAACTGGAGTCTCTCCTCCTTTCCATGTGACCTTTACATACATGAAGTTGTCCGAGCTGGCTCTGGTGCAGCATTTCACGAAGCTTTGCCATTGTATCATTTTGACCTTCAATCACCTGGTACAACTCCTCGGTCTAGAAATGAGAGAGGGCATGACGAACATGTTAGTAAACTAAATATAAATTCCATTATCTCATCTATACAGATTTTAGTAACAAACTATTCCAAAATTTCAAAATTTAAGTTAAGCTACAATTTTTTTGAGGCTAATGTTTATTAGTCTAACAACAGTCATTTATACAAATATAGAATACTTGTCTACTTTCATGGGATAAATCATTTCTGCACAGGTCCTTGATTGCTAAATACCTTACCTCACTTTCTCTGCTTTTCAAAGTTTCCTTAAGGCTTTGAATTGTACCATCTTGTTTCTGAGATGACTCCTGAGCAGATTTTAGTTCACAGCTCATTTCATTCAGTTTCTCTTGAAGAATCTGAATTCAGCAAAGAAAGATACTTTGTTAGGTCAATGATAACTTTTAGTTCAATGCAATCATAACCTTCCTCAAACCCAGGGTTTAAAGGACTTCTTAAAGAATATTAATCTTGTTATTTTTTCCCATGTATAGCAAAGTCTTAATCAGTAAGACAGTGTAAGGGGAAATATGAATTCAACACTCAATTGCCTCAACTCCCATGTACTGTGCTTTCTCTATGATGGTAGCCTCACTATGTACTTGACCATATGGGTCAATATAGGTCCCTTACACAAGACCAAGAAACATTTGCTATCCAGCATAGGACAGGATACAGCAAAAGACAAGGGCACACCAGGTCAGAAGTTCCACAGCCTAAATTGTGGCAACTTTCCTCTAAGCACATTCAAATTCACAAACTATAAAAGATTGAGCAGTTAAGCTAAAATGCACAGCTTCCTACGGTGGTGCTTTATGCAGGTAAAGACTGTGCACCAGTTTTAATCTCACTCCTAAAAGACACCAGAAATTGTGACATGCAGAGAATGAGCTAATATCTTGATGAGAAATTTAGGGAACTAAACTTGTAAATGAAATATTCTCTAGTACACCAGGTGTCCATAATATTCACCTCCCAAGTCCTATTCAGGTTAAGAGTCAGGCTAGAGACAATGACATCCTCAGGGAAACCCTGTGATTTCCAAGAGCACATTACTGATCATACCTTGTTGGTAGCTTCTGTTTGCTGGATTTTTTCCTGGAGTTCTGCCAAGTGGGAGTCAGATACAGATTGCTGAGTTATAGTAGTCTCATTCGAATTCAGCTTTTGTTGTTTGAGTAATTCTTCAGGCATGTGCTAGGAAGAAACAGCAAGACAAGGAAATTGAGTTAAACACAGTCAACAATAAATTTTATTTTTATGTTCAAATCTACATGGCATCTTTTGTCACTGATTTGGGAAGTCAGAGTTGTTGCATGAATTATCAGTATGCTTTCCTGAAGACAGTCCTGTTCCTTGCTATGAGCACTGACTCACCTTCATCCTCACTATGCTCCCTACCTTCCATCCCCTCCTTTTCCCACCACACACACAAACATTACATATTCAGACAAAACAAGTATATAGAGTTTAAAGAGAAAGGGGGCAGATTTTAAAAAAGGAAATGCTTATGATAACAGAATATTTACTTTATCCTAATTTTTAATCAGGAACTTAAAAATGTATGTCAGTCAAACTTATATCATTCCTAATAGAGGAAAAGTTAATTCAGTTACCTTTCTTGACAACAGGCCCATTCATATTATTGGAAAAATTGGCATATTAGATAGTAGCATTTGATCATCACTAAATTTCCTAAATTCATTAACTGTATCCAATTGGTAAGAAATGCCCTTACCCTTAGGAAACACATGTAGAAGTATCTAGATAAAGGGGTAGAATGTCTATAACTAATTCTCACATGGTTCAAGAATTTAAAACAATATGTGCCTATGCAGGGAGTGGAAGTGATAAAACAAAGGTGGCAAAATATCAGCATCTGGTAGAGGGTGAGGAATGTATGCACTTTCCTTTGAAATTATTTTAACGCTTTTCTTTTTTTTTTGGAGGGACTGGTATTTGAATTCAGGGCTTCTAGCTTTGCAAAGCTGGCAATCTACTGCTTGAGCCATACCTCCAGTTGAAATTATTTCAAAATAAAAGGAAAAACTTAAAAATAAATGTAAAACATATGTCTATTTAAGGGTAGATTTATAAATAATCCATGGTGATCTGGGAAAGAGGTATATTTTATAGGAATACCAACTCATTAGAAAGATTTAGGAGAAAAAGAAAGCATTAATTATATATGGGACAACTGATAAGATAAACTTACTGAACTATATCTAACAATCATTCTGAGTAAAAGATGTTAAAATAAAACTTAATGAATTCAAGGTAGCATTAAATTCCATACACCACCATATCCCCTTCCACTTCAATTAGGGATCTAAATCCATTATGAAAAGAAAAAACAGCAACTGTTAATTCACTTTTTCTTTTCCTCACACTTTCAAATTTTGATCACTACCTTCTAGGCAGTAGAGTTTACCTTAAATCCCTTTCTGCTGGCAACAAAAGGTATAAAGATTTCAGAAGAAAAGTATTTTCTGTTTTTCCAGGGTTATCTATAAACTTTTCCAACACTGATTAAGAGCTACAATATGCAGAGCAGGATGAGGCACTCACTATGGAGAAGGCAATGCTGACTAATACATGGTTCTGGCTCCAGTATCAGCCTAATGAGGAGGTAGTCATGTCATGTAAACAGTGAAAAACATTCACTTCAACAGAAAAAACAGAAATAGCTCTTAGAAGAGACAGAATTTATGCTAGATGTAAAAAGAGGGCTAGGATCACAGGTGGCTGTGATTGATGAGGAAAGGCACCCTAGGCAGAGCAAAGAACAGAGGGAAGCGCAGGGGTAATGAATACAAAATGCTGACTTTGTAAGCTTTATAAGCAGAGTGACCATATAACTGACCACTAAGGTTAAGTAAGAGTCAGACTCTGTGATCACTCAGACCAAACCACTTACAAGAGTTGATGGGTGCAATTAATAATTATATTAGAACAATATGTATATACCAGGATGTTTTGTTGTCCTATTTATAAGTCCACAGCTATTTATCACTATATACTATTTGGTAGAACAAATAGTATCATCTCAAAGTAATAAAAGGCAAAAATATCAAGAGGTATTAAGAAATATTCTCAATTATAAGCCTAAATGACAGGAAATTAGAACAATTGCCAAGGTTCTGACAAGATGGTGGAACATCTCATTAAAGAACCTAGACTCCTGACATCATCCTATAGAAGCTAGACTTCACTGTTTATTCTGGTAGAAATGGGACTGAAATGGACCCAGTGGCCTTTGCTGTGCCCACTGGCTATCAGTTACCAGTATAACATCCATCAATATCATTCATTTACTCTCTCAACATGCACCTGTTGAGTACTATGTGGCAGACACCTTTCTGGAGATAAAGTACAGTAGAGGACAAAAACTGATCACTTATGTTGAAGCACTTGAAGGAGCTACATAATAAACAAAGTGAATACAAAGTATCAATATTGCCCTAGGCAGTATAGGATAATATGACAGAGAACTGGTTTAAGTTTTACCCTTATACCAAATAGAGGAAGGTTTTTATGAGACAGCATGTAAGTGGAGAGCTGAATGAAAAGAAATTAGTCTTTCAAAGACCAGCCCAGGCAGAAGGAAGAGCTAATGGAATGTGAGCATGGGAAAAAAGACAGGCTTATACGGGCTAGAGGGGTACTTTCTAATAAAAAATATGTGAGCCCTGCATGTAATTTTTAACTTTCTAGTAGCATCACGGATTTTTATTTAACCACATATGTCCAAAGTAGTAATATAAACATGTAATCAATATAGAAATTATTGAGATACTATATATCATTTTTTCTTAAGTCTTTGAAATTTGAGGTGTATTTTACACTCACAGCACATCTCAATTCAGACTAGTCACATTTCAAGCACTCAATAGTGACATAAAGCTGGTGGCCAGCCTTATGAGAACATAATGGTCAAGGGACAAGGTAATATGACAGTGGAAAGGAAGGCAGGGGCCACGGAATACACAGCTCCTGTACAGCAGAGCTAATGAACCTGAATTTCATCCTAATGGAAATGAGAATGGACTCTAGTGTTTCGAACAGAAAAGTCATCATTTTTAAGTTTTCAAAAGATCACTCTAGCAGCTTTGTGGTGAGCAGAGCCCCTAAGAAGGCTGCTGCCATCCTACAGTGATGGTAAATGGCAGCTTGGATTATAGTGGTGGTGATGAAGGAGATGAATGCGTTGATGTGGATATATTTTGAAAGTACATGTTACAGGATTTGCTGGTACCCTGGATGGTGGGAGCAGCATGGAAAGAAAAGAAGGACAAAGACTCCTAGAAAAATCATTTGAGATATCTGTTGTTGTGGGTACAGCAGGGAGCCTTCCCCTGAAGCAATGTGAACTATGTCACATCATGAGAAAGGTAACTAAAATAGGTACTTTCAAGTATAACTGATAAATAAATGTATCATATATTTAATGGTAAAGTGGTTTCTATAAAACTTAGTTCTTTACTCCCTCAATAACAACTACTATAGCATAATTTTAAAATTTAAAACTATAACAAGCAGAATTAAAGAAAATAGCTCCAAGATTAAAATGGCAAGGAAGGTGGTCATATTTATTAAAGAATCTTAGAGCCATTCTATTTTACATACAAGGAAATGGAAACTTACAGAAGAAAAGTAAATTGTCCAAGACTACAAAGGGAATCAGGAAAAGTGTCCAATTAAACAATACAAGCCGGGTGTGCCGGTGCATGCCTATAATATCAACACTGAAGCAGGAGGATCTTGACTTCCAGGCCAGCCTGGGCTATAAAGTAAGACCATGTCTCAAAAACGAAGAAACTGAATATACTCAAATTGGTAATGTATCTTTCAATTCTATTAATCTACCCCCTTCCATACTGCCAGGAACATTTTAAGAATCAAAACATTTTGTTTCATGAATAAGAACAATAAAAATTAATAAATAAATAAAATAAGGCCTGACTCTTCCCAGTCCAATGTTCTCATCTTTCAATGGCTCTCTTAGAAGTAAAATCATATGTGTGTATAAATGTAAGTGTATCTATATACACATGCATACAAATATGTACATGTGCTTTATATACACACACAAAACACAGCAATATATAGGAACAGCAACTTCAAAGCCAAAGTAAAGTACAAATGGCAAAGCACATAATGAATCTGGATCTCATATGAACCCATCTTGGCATGAATAATCACAGGAAACCTCTAATTCTATAAATGTAATATATTGACTTAAAAGCTAGATGTTTGTTTCTCCTTTATTTATAAAAATTTACTACTTTAAATCTGAGAAAAATATCTTTCCAGAGAAAAGTCTGCCAAAAGAGCACTTAGTTTCACTGAACTCATAATAAATTCTTGTGAAGTACAAGTACATAAACCAATCACTCCTAAGAAAGATTTTAAGAGCTAAAACCAGTAATCCCTAGCTTAGTAGATGTAATGTTTCTCCCCAGAGACTCAACTACTGAGATCATGTCATAATGACAATGTAATTTTAAGTAAGTCACTTTCGACTCATAGTTAGTACAGCTGCTTTCCAGCATCAGAAAACGAAAATTGCTTCCAGGTTAAATGTTGCATAATGTAAGTCTGCTAGGTTAAAAGGCGGCTGTTTAGACCCTCTGGGTTAACAGCATTTTTCATGCCAGTTTCCAATCCTTACAATAGAGAATCACAGATTTCAAACTGCTATCATTTCCTATCCTATTGCTAATAATAGGAGACAGATAAGAACCATCAACCACCATAAAATTAAAGGCCTAATCTTTGACCAATATCTAATGTTTTCATTTTCCAAAGGGCCTGATCTACTTAGGAGCTAAGCTATGAGTGGGATAAATTTCCCATAGTAACAAATAAGCAGACTTTGACAACTAAGGTTTGAAGTGAAGCTCTGATCTTGAATTTACACAGAAAGGGAAATTGTATGTGGGCAAGAACTTTCTGAATTGCTATTTACTAAGGGGCAACACCCCACCTATTATAGCTTTTCTACTTCAGGGTCAGACAATAAAGAAGGAAATTACTATCCAGAATAAAGCTTCAAACCTTTCTTTAGATATCTGAAGAGTCTTGGGTCTTTAGTCATAAATTTGATAGAAGGAAAATAAATTATCTGCATAATACCAGAAAATCATTAAGCAGGAGAAATACACTGTTGCTATTTATCCTTAAAGGAAGAAGAAAGG